TATTGCTTATAACGAAACTTGACAAGGAGAAAAAAAGCTAATCCAAGCAAAACACTGGCACACAGAGCTGTCTCTAAAAGCTCACTGGCTGCTCTGCTCATATTTATCCCTACAGTTCTTTCATTTTCTAGGTGTGGCTGTGAAATTTGCTACACTCAAAGCTGGAAGGACAATGCAAAAGGTGGTAACAGAGACCAAGAGGCTCTGAGGGTAGAGAATACAGAAAAAAATGGTTCTTTGTGTTAAGCAAAAGAAAACCAAATCAATGTAATATCAAGTTTTCCAACAGAAAACTTCTAATCCTTTACTCCTCTCCCTTTCCCACTGAAACAACTGTTTTAATAATATGAAAATTTAAAACATCTCTTATGAACGTAAATTATGTTGTAGCAGAAGAGGATGCTGACTGTCTCACATGTTACATTAAAGTTCCAAATTGGTAAAAAAAACAAAAAACCACTGCATTATATAATCTAAAATTTTAAATTACCTTAATTCATTATATTTAAAGAAAGAGATCTTCCTCAATTCTTTGAGAGAAAGTGTGTGTTTTCCTTCTTTAAACCAAAGTAGATCATAGCCAATGACTGGGCCTATCATTGGCCCTTAAATCAAAATTCCTGTATTTCCTTTCATCTTAGTATTTACCATTATTTTTAGGTCTATTACCAATACCTGTCCTTGTAAAGAGAGATACAGGAGAGAATCTGGAAAAGAATAAATATCCTAAGCCTACTCCCTGAAAATGTGACCATCCTCCTTACCTGTATTTGTTCCTCCTAGAGTGAACCCAGTGGCAGATTTAGATCCAAAGAGCCCGCTTCCAAAACCACCTGAAGGAGCAGATGTAGTTGCTGGAGTTGTGGTGCTTCCAAGAGTTCCAAAATTGAGCCCCACAGAAGGGTTGCTTGTTTATTTAAAATAAAAAAACAACAACAAAAAAACACAAAACACAAAATAAAGTCTACTAGAGACCATATTTACTTAGGAAAAATAAAAATTAATTCTTCCAGATTAATTATTTCCTTTCATGTAACATATCTAATCATCACCATAAGATCCAAAAGGAACTAACAATAAATTTACCTTTAACCAACCAAGTTTAAATATTTTTCTGTTCTCCTTAAGAAATAAGTCAGCATGTAAAGTCAGCCTTAAAAATACAGTATCAGGCTTCAAGAAAAGCACAGTCTATAGTAATAAGGATTTCAGATCTCAAGGTAATCATAAGCAGGGATCACACATATTCTATTCTGCTTTCAGCAGTTTTTGTTTGAAACCTAGCATATTTTAAAATGGCCATAAGGAAATCCTATGAATATGGGTCATTTTCCTTTTGAACTACTCAAGTAAGTTCACATTTCTAAATTTAATTGTTCTTCCCCAATTACTCATATAAAGAAAAGCCATACCCAGAAATTAAAAAGTTCTATGTTATCACCAGCTCTCTATTGCTGTATTACCATGTTCGTGCAGTAGGGGGAGAAATGGTTCAGTTTAGGTAACTTGCCACCAAAAAAAGCAAAAACAGAATTGTTTGAGGTAGAGGGGGATAGCCTGGCAAAAGTTAAACGCAAGAAAAATTACCCACTATCAAAATTATGTTCATCAGCAGAAACTCTTTTCAGAGAGCTGAAAACTTAAAAAGAACAGCTGATAAAAACAAGTGAATATGAACAAGGTTCACAACTTTTCAACTTTTCTAGCAGATAGATGTTATACTGTCTTTCCTTTCATTAATTTACTCAAGCCTTTCTATAGATTGGGTAAATTTTTCTAGTTTATAGTAAACTTCTCTAGTTCTATAATTCATTTACTCAGTCATTCAACAAGTATTATTAAAGTCCTTTTTCTATGCCAGGCACTGTCCTGGGGCTAAGGATGGAGTGGTAAATAAGACTCAGAGCCTGCCCTCAGAAGTTTCCAGTCAGTGAAAGACACAAATATTAATCGCTCATTCATTCATTCAACTAATATGTACTGAGCTCCAGGTTCTGTGTCTATTGGAAAAACAGTATGAAAAAGTCTCTCCCATCGTGAAGCTTACATTCTAGTGCTGGGATCAGACAACAAACAAGTATACAATAAACATTATGAACTGACCACAATTGTGATAAGTACTACAAGCACAGGGTACTATGAGAATGGAAATCTCCCCTAGAATGACAGGTCGGAAAAGCCCTCTCTGGAAAAAAGACCATTTGAGTCTCCAAAGATAAGTAGGCATTAGGGAGGGGCATTCCAAGCAGAAAAGGGATTGCCCTAAAACGGGAAGGGGTTGGCCAAGTCCCCCTGAGGAACTGAGAAAAGGCCTTTTTGCTAGGGCAGTGTTTTTCAAACTAAGATCAGGAACATTAGAAGAGTATAATATTAATTTAGCAGGTCACAAGTAGCATTTTTAAAAATTAAATGGAATAGAACAGAAAACGTCAAAGTACATCCCATGAAGTAAGGGTAAGTATCTCTTTCTGAAACTTTCAGTTATTTCTTTGTGTGTACCTATTGGGCGGTAATGTAAATGCTGTTTATTTATTTATTTTTACAGTAGGTCTGGATCACTGAAATGAGAAAATGGCTCAAGATGAGTCTGGAGAGGTTCCAGATTCTGGGCCTTGCAGACCATGGTAGGATTTTTTTGTTTTTGTTTTTTTGTTTTTTCACTTCATTCTAAGTACAGTGGAAAATGACTGAAACAGAAGCAATGGTAATTTAAAAAGAAATCACTCTGGCTACAATGTAGCAAAAAAGATCTACGTAAAAGCAGATTTTGGAATAGCAATTAGGATTCCATGACACTAATCTCAGCAGGAGCTGATGGGAGGAATGCTCACCTAACAAAAGACGACTAGTTGAAAACCTGACAGGAATCATAAGTACTTTCATCAGAGAACAGGGCTCTTATTTATTTTACCTACAGCCTAACACTTAAGAATCTGTCCAATAAATATTTGTTTCACGAATGACAATAGTTTGGAGCAGGGTGGTGGCCCTTGAAATGAAAACAACTGAGAACCGCAGAAGTAAAATGATCAGGACTTGCTGATTGCATAAAGTAAGAAAGGAGGAGCTATGGAGGAAAACTCCCAGATTTCTGACTTGACTAAGTGGTCTGTGGTTCCTCCCCTCCCTCCCCACCTTTTTTTTTTTCGTTCATGTATTTATTCCACAGTCAAAATAAATCATAATTTAAAGCAATAACATTTTTAAAAGATAAAGGAGAGTTTGTGGCACAGATGTATTAACAAAACAGACACCAGTCTACAGTATAACACTAAACAGGTGTTCTCCGTTCCCAGAGTGGAATAAATACATAACAATTACACATAAAATTTCATTGAAGATCTGAGATGAGGCAAATAACTCTTTGAAATAAACTGCCCAATGAATAGAGGCAGGCTACAAATAATTTCTGTTAACATTTTACAGCAAGATGGAAAAATTCCCAAGGTGACTATTAACTCAAACCTCTCATTTCATGCCTAGCCTTGGTTTCTTTCCTCAGTCACATACAAATCCAGAAGGCTTCTGTACCCCATGCTCAAAAATGCTAAAGGTACATTTGCCTTTTTAATCCACAACCACATCCTTTAAGCTTCAGGAGACATCTTGTAGATAGTGTGCATACTTCTTGATTTTATGAACTCCTTCATCTTTACCTTCAAAAGACTGAGTTCTGCAGATTAAATCTTTCATTAAAATGATCTTTCACTATTTTGTCTCTTTCTGGACCTCTGCTAGTTACGTTTTTGTCGGCACCAGAACTAGTAGATTGCACAAAAACGATGAATATGCTACCTACATTTTGCAATTTAAGTAAAAGAATGTGAGCCATTACAACGCTACATTCTTACCTAGGATACATTAATCTGCACGTACTGCACAAAATTACCACCAATAAGTGATGTAAAAAGTATTTTTAAAAAAATAGATAGGGTCCTACGTGGCATAAGGGCTTCAAAAGCTCGTTAAAAATAATCAAGAAATCATTAAAGCACCGTAATATCTAAAATTGTACACACTACAATGGAATTTGAATTGTTAAGGAAAAAATTTTTATTTTTTTTATTTTCCGTAATATCTAAAATTGTACACACTACAATGGAATTTGAATTGTTAAGGAAAAAATTTTTAATTGCTTTCCTTGGCATTTTCTATTAATTGTCCCTTTCTAAAACCCACAATAAGCTATAATTTCATTCATTCGTTCAACATTCATTCCATGCCTGAGACTGTAGCCTATATGGGATCCGAACCCGTGGCCTTGGTGTTATCAGCACCGCACTCTACCGAGTGAGCCACAGGCCGGCCCAAGGAAAAAATTTTTAATTGCTTTCCTTGGCATTTTCTATTAATTGTCCCTTTCTAAAACCCACAATAAACTATAATTTCATTCATTCGTTCAACATTCATTCCATGCCTGAGACTGTAGCATCGCTAAGGCTCAGGAGTGAAATCGCCGCCCCTCACGCAGTCAGACCCCACCTAGTAGGAACAATGCCTGAACCATACGTGGATTCTGGAGACTTCACAGTACAGAGACCATCCGCCCTCCTCCCCACCAGGCCAGGGCCCGGTCACGGCGATGAGAGGGAGGCCCACGACGCTGGCGGCTCGGCAAGTGCTTCTCTCAAGGCCCACCAGGAAGAAAGCCAGCGGGAAGAGGGACCAGGAGGTACCAGGGAGCCTCACGGGAGAGGACTCGGCCCAAGAAAATGAGGAAGTGCGGTTACCTAGACGCCCCTGTTCCGAAGGAGAAACCGCCGCCTGTGCCGCTGCCGCTGGCGGCCACAGTGGTGGAGCCCAGCGTTCCGGACCCGAAGGAGAACCCCGTGGACATAGTTGCCCAGGGGTCGACGCCGTCAGCAAGCTGAAAGGGGTCGGGGACGCTCTTCTCGTCTCAAAGACAAGGCGGGCCGGGCAGCATAGCTCTGGCCCAGCTCTCACCTGGCGGGAACTTCAAGCCCCAGCAACTCCGAAGACATGGCTGAAAAGGGTGGAGCAAGCACGCAAAAACACGTCTGACGCTCACCGCGCGCACGTAGGCCCCCGGAAGCGAGACCGCCGCGCAGGGAACCCTGGGACGGAGGTGAGGCCGGCGCGCCGTGCAAGGCACCCCGGGATGGAAGGCACCGCCTGTTCTCTTAAAGGGGTAGGCGCCCAGAGTTTAAACACACACACCCGTCTTTCTTTGTTTTTTTGACTTCCCCTATCTTGGTATCTGTGCTGACGTAGTATGTATTTATGGCTGATGAATCTCAATTATTGCTAATCCTGCCAAAAAGGATTCGCAGAATCCCAGAGTTGGGGAAGGTCTTAGTGAGCATCAGTAAGCCGGGAGTGCAGAAAAGGAGGTGGCTTGTGGCTTTCGTTGGCTGCCTCCCCATCCTCGAAGAGGGAGAGCGTGAATGCTTCATGACGGTTCGGAAATCAATCGATAATAACTCACGCTTCCGTCCCATGTCGTGAGAAAAGTACCGAAACGTGCAAAATCAGGCGAAATGTAAGGGTTCTGTGAGCAACATAAGAGAAATGTGGGCTTAACGAAGAGATCCCCTCTGGCGGAAGCATCGGGAAGGGCTTCCCGGCGCTGGTTGTATTTGAGGGCTGCCATCATAATAGGAGTTTTTATTTAACAATCAGGGATTGTTACCTTACTCTCCCCAGTATTTCCCTCCTTTCCTGTGGTCTCTTTCAATAAAGTCCGTTCCTTAAGCACTCCCTGGGTTTGTTCTCCTAAAACATAATTCTCACCACGACACTGCCTTTATCAAAAAGCCCAGGGGATCCTTCGTCTGACGTTCAATGTCCTCCATCTGACCAATCCTTCTAACCTCACATCTCATAGTTCCCCTTAACTGAACACTTTCTCCTGCGTTGAGCTTGGGTATTCCCACATACTAGGGACTAAATTATGCCCCCTTCCTCCCAGGTCATATGTTGAAGCCCTATCTCCCCACCCCGACCTTCTGATGGTTTTTAGAAATGGAGCCTTTGGGAGGTGATTAAATTTACATGAATCCTGAGAGTGGGTCCCCATTATTAGTGCCATTATAAGAAGAGACACTAAAGAGCTTGCATGTGAGGACACAGCGAAAAAGGACCTTCTGAAAGCCGGGAAGAGAGCTGGCCCTCACCAGGAACCCAATCTCATGGCTCCTTGATCTTGGACTTCCTAGCCAGAAGTGTGAGAAATACATGTCTGTTGTCATAGCCACCCCAGTCGATGGTATTTTGTAATAGCAGCCCAAGCAGACTAGTACAATACCTCTGTATTTGTATTATTAAAAATAAATAAATAGCATTTCTTAAAGTATGGGCGGGGGGTAGCAACAGGAATGATAAAACAAAAAAGAAAAAGGACATATTTGAACTATAGTATAAAGAAAAAAATCAGTTACTGAATAGAAAGAAAAGATAAGATGATTGTAGGTTTTAAAGCTTCCGTCATCTGGAGAATGCTATCTTCAGTGATAGCTGTAGGATGGTCAATGATAAGACTGTCAGTGTAAAATCTAGGGTACTTTCTTTTGACTGAAAAATAAAGAGAAAAAAAAAGATCCAGATGATTTTTGTGGGAAGTTAGAAGGCTGCTCCCTGTATCTTTTAATTCCCTAGTGTGTTCTTCTCAAAACTTTTGAAGAATACCAACACAAAATTAGTAACAGCAAAATGCCTTATAAAGTTTTCACCCATCACCCAAGAAAAGAGAAAAATAAAAGCAATATAAGGAGTTTTTTATAAAGGTAAATGTATTTAATTCACAGTATAGTCATTTATTTTGAAATATGTCCTTCCTATTGGTATGGATGGGACCTGAAAAAGTTGCTTTTATGATTTCATAATGATAATGTATGAAGGTAAGATTAGGAAAAGAAACTAGGCAATGTCAACATTACATAAATAAGGAGAGTCACGTTGTTGCTACCAAAATTTAATTCTTCCTTTCCTTTTTCCTTAAAACCCCACTTGTGTTCAAAGTGGCACACTAACCAGTTAAACAGGTAGAGATGGGCAGAAAACATGAGATGAGTCTAGGATGACTCATTTGGAGGGGAACATACATTCTTTTTTTTTTTTTGCCTTTCTCCTTCTTCCTTCCTTCTGCATGGAACTTAGACATAATGGCTGGATCTCCAGCAACCATCTTGAGCCATGAATGACCTTAAAAAGAGAAGTCATATGCTAAGAAAGGTATAGCAGAAAAATAGTATGAGCTTAGATCTCTGATGGTTTTACCACAGAACCACCATACCAACCCTAGACTTCCTATCTTCAGATTTCTTTTTTTTTTTTTAATTAATTTTTTTGGCAGCTGACTGGTGTGGGGATTCAAACCCTTGACCTTGGTGTTATAACACCATGCTCTAACCAACTGAACTAACTGGCCTGCCCTTTTTTTTTTTAATGATAAGAAATCAACTTCTATGTTGTTTAGGCCATCAGAGTTGGGTCTCTGCTATGCATAGCTACATTTAGTATACATCTTTAATGGGAGTCCACCCTAAAAGATGAATTTTACATGTGTTCCTGAAGAAACCTAGGGAATTTCCAAGACTGACCAAGGTCCAGAATATCTATGGGACTGCAGTAGAACAAAACAATGAAACAATAACAACCAATTATCTAATTATCTTGAAACATGCTAATAGAAAGGCAGTAGTCAGTATCAAGTCTCAAAAAAAAAAAAAGAAAGGGAGCCAGAGAGAAAGAATTTATTTGTGTTTATTGCTGTCAGCTTTCAAGGAAACAAGTCACTGTGCCTGATGGATGCACATACTCTGATCACTAGATAGATGTCCTCCACTATGGAGCAGGAACAAATACATGTCTTTTCCATTGCATGGATAAAATTTCCCTCAAGCCTGTCCAATTCCTTTAACTCTGATCAGTTTCCCCATAACCTAATTAGGCCTTTTTTGGTTGCAAAGAATAGATATCTTCTCAAAGTAGTTCAAGCACAGGTGTCTATATATGTGGGAAAGGTGTGGGAAGACAGAGTTATTGTACAGATACAGAAAAGTTTCAGGGGAAGCTAGATAAAGAGGAATAGCCAATCCTCGAGTATATCAGAAACCAGGGGCCAGATCATGAGAAATGAACTGGAGAGGGTTGGGCCTACTTCAGGTAACTGAGATGATCTGGAGGTCCTGGAGGTTGGAGGAAGGGCTAATTAATTGACCAAGTGGCCTGAGGGAGAAAGAGGGGGAATTCAGGCATGTGCCACACAAAAACCAGTGATGCCAGATGATAATATGACTAGTCAAGCAAGATACTCTTCAGGGAGCAAAAGCAGAGGCCAGCCAGCAAGTGGGGAGGAAGTGGATCAAGGCTGCCAAGACTGATTGCCTCACCCTGATCCCAACTCCATCCCTGCTGTTTTCAAACCTGGGGCAGTGTAGGGAGAAGCTTTGAATTGGAGACAAGGGTACATTTTGATTTACATTAGACTGGACTCTTTGACTCCTAAAAATTAGATTATTCTAAAAGCCAAGAGTGACCAGTACTTCTCTAGGCTCTGCTCAAGCTCCTGTTAGGGAGAAGTGAAGGAAGAGCCTACAAAGCAGGCTTGAAGGGTAGTCGTGGAGAAAATGAAAAACACTGCCTGCTTGCACCCCACAGAACCCAGTGTGCAATAAAGTGGTTATGTAGAATAGAGCATGGCTGACTGCTGTATGGGCCAATGTCAACAGCAGGAACAAATGGTCAGAAAGACCAGGAACAGATATCACTTGAGTAGATCATCAAGATTTACTTATTTAAAGAATTCAGAGAGGAGGACACTTAGAAAAAATGACAAGTAACTTTAAGACAGCACAAGGAAAAAGCCTCCAAATCCCCAAATCCCAAAAGAGAGAAGATCACATCAACCTTCTGGAAATATACTATGTCTCCCTCCAGCCCAGCATGAGGGTAACCTTGATGTATGTACTTCACTAGGCCAGGTGCTCCTCCTCAATGGCAGGATTATAGCATATATAAAGTTATCGCTTGAATATAGTCTACAATGCACTAAGACACGTTTCATTCTTCACTCAATCTCCCCAGATGAATATAGTCTGATCCAAATAAATATCTGAGCTTGGTGGTAAAGGATTAGAATAAGGATCAGCAGGTGTCCAGATATCTCTGTGAACTCTAGGATTCATTCTCTTCACACCCACGTATACAATGAACATTTATTGAGCATATTTAGGCCAGCTACTATGCTAAGTACTTTTGTTCATTATTTCATGTAACCCGGACAAATAATAGAGAAGATGATAAGTATCACTATTTACAGATAAGAAAATCAAAAATTACAGAAATTAAATGATTAGAGTGAATTCACCTAGCTAGTAAGTGACATATATGAGATTTAAATTCAAATATCTTTGATTCCAGAGAGAAGTCTACTCATAGACTTTACCTTCTGCCATAAAACACCTTAAAATAAAAACTGAGAAATGAAGCCAAGTGAAATATTTTTTCTCTTTTAATGATTTATAGTTTTTCAAGAAACACAGAGATTAGGGAATATGATTGCTTTTATAATATAGCAGGCGAGCAGTAAACATAATTATAAAAGCATCAATATGTGATTTTTAAGTGTAAAATGTTTTCTCAGATGACAGAATATCAGACATACATTCTGTATTTTATAGGGTAATTTAAAAAAATAGTATAAGAATAAATATTAAGCATTAGGGAGAAATAAATGTAGAAGACTGATTCCTCATTATCTCAAACCATAATGATTGTTTATTTGATGTTTTTTGTTTATTTGTTACCTTTTGATTCAAAAAAACTCTTCATCTTTAGGTGCACGGTCAATTAAGAAAATGATATTTGATGAAAGCCATCAATAACTAGTCACATCACCATTTTGTAGGCACATATAAGGCAAAATCTAGGTGACCCTAGAACTTGTCTGGTAAAGGAAATTATAAATATGCACAAAAAAACAAAATTAACCAAAGTATGTACCCTTGATATGATGTGATAAAAATGGTGCTTTATCTCTACGTTCT